TAGGTGTTCTGTAGCCACAAAAATGTGAAATATTTTTCTGCAGTCACACACATAAGTTGAAGACTAGTTTTCATTATAAAAACTTTGGATAAGTTGTCAGACCTCAATCAAGTCTGGTCCATTGCCTTCTTGCATGCTTTAGGAGTCTTTTTTCAAGCTTGTAAGATACATGTATTTGGGTGGGGGGTTGAATTGAAAAGATTGGCTTGCAACACATGGCAAACACTTATGTGAGGTAACATGGACTAGGGACATACATGTATGTGTAGTGTTGAGAAGGAACAGGTTATTAAGATCCCATGCAAGGGGCTAGCAGTAAAAGGGCATACAGGTACAGGCTAAATAAACTCCAAGGTCACTGCACCCCAAAGGGAAAAAAATTGCCAAAAATCTCTTTGTCTTACATGTAAACAAATTCAGTTTGACCGCTTGTAATTGAAATTTGATATCAAAAAAGACAGGACAGTGGAACTCCCAAAGGCATTTGATTTGTATTGTCGAGTTATTAAAAATCAATCAATAATAATAATAATAAAAATGACAGGCATCCACTGGTTTTGGGGTATACTTCATGTTGGTCGTCTTCTTTTCCAAGCAATACCGCTCAAAGTGTGCAGTATTAAAAGCGTTGGGCCCAAATACTGGTACCTGCACTGGAAACCACTTTTATTTCTATTGGTATTGCAGTGTGTAAACAGTCTCAGAGTAGTGTGGCCTTCTAAAGCTCCATTGATGACTCTAAAACCAAATAGATTAGCCGGCACCCAGTAGCCACATCATGTACCAGCATTTTATGACGGGGCAGGATGGCATTGAATCCTCCTTTCCATTAACAGTCAAGTGAAGGCCAAGGTTCCCCCCACTAATCCCAGCAGTTTGGCCAGTGGGATTGTTCCATCCTCCATTACTCATGTTAATGTTGGCCCACTTGGACCACCGCCAAGAACATTAACCTGCGGATGAATAGAGAAGAATGAATAGAATCCAGACAGTGTGGACCCGTGCTTTTTTTTGGGGGGGGGGCTTTTCTCTACTCCTTTCTATTGGGGGTGGTCGTGCTCTTTGGAGTGGTGGGATATTAATGAGGAAACCTTTGGTCTAACCTGCTGGTTATGGCCCTCTCCCACTCCACTCCCTCAGTTGGAGTGACACAGACACACATCATAGGAGAATTACTCACCCACTTTTGGATGGTTGGACCTGTTGCATGAGGTTGGTTGATCTCCAGTCTTAGCAGTTTGATCAACTTGACAGAACTTGACAGACGTGCATTTTAAGCCAGTGGAAGGTGAGAATGACATTGACTTCAAGTTTGTGTGATTCACGGTGGTGATGATCTGACTGTGTCAGTGAATGTATGTATACTCCATTTAAATTGTCCAGCTGGACTCTTTACACAGTGTAACTTTGGAGGCAGGTTATTCTGACTTGTTGATTTGGTTCTTAGGGAAACTTAATTACAGGCTTTGCTTTAAGTGGAGGTACTTGCACAAGAGATTGGGGAACATATATCACATTCAAGTAAGGCACTTTTTATGGCTTAGCCCAACAAAATAGGACCAGATATTTGCCAGAGGTGCTTTTGAGTTGCATACATAAGACCTTTAAATACAAACTTACACTGTCGAAATCAGTAGAAACTGTCAACCAAATGTCCTTATTCTTCAGGATGTTGAACTTTGTAATACAGTGTACCGGATGTCAAACTGGAGAGTTTAGTATGCTTCAAAACATGGGACAAACTAGTGAAGAGAATTAAGTGTGAAAGATTACTTTGCTGGATCTGGTCACTTTTTGTCTGCAGGATGTGGGTTTGCTTGGTGCTATTGATTTTTTTTATTTCACTGTACAAGTACCATCTTTCTGTGTGTTCAGCTCATCAGGAGATATTTAGTAGGTATTAAGAGTGGCTGGTGTTGTAAAACATTTCTTTATCCTCGCTGGTCGAGTGGTTAAGAGATTTGCACTAGTAAGTAGGAAGTCGTGGGTTCGAGTCCCACCCGAGTATGTCTGTGTTTTTTTGTTTTTTGGGTTTTTTTAAACAAGCCTTTGGGGGCAAACACTGAGTATACAGTGTTATAATACACGTCTGCCGGGCAGGGCAAAAATCCAAAATGAATTATCACTTCCCGGCGCAAATCCATCCTTGGCAATATTTCTGTATCCTGCTGGCATTCTGAGGTGTTTATTAAAATACCATCCTTATGGCAATTGCAATATAGCGGCAATAGTCATCTGAGTAATGAAGTATACTCATTGTTAATGAGCGTACATTAGATGGTACAATAAAATAAACAGTAATGCCTTCTACGATAAACTATGACTGGCATCCGTGCCAGTGCTGTTACTGCCAGTGTATCCTTCTAGTTTTGTCAACAGATTGTTTTATGGAGGTGCTGTTGCTTCTGCAAAGTGTTTTCGTTTTCCACCTTAGCGAGGACCCGTTGCGATTTGTATAATTCTGATCTCCCCCACACCCTATTCACAGAGACCTGCCATTGTGCCTGCCTCCTTGTGAAAATTTCCCCAGAGGTCTAAACAATGCCTGCCACCCTGGGCTCTCGAGGTCATTGTTGGGGCCCTCATGTTGTGAACTTTACAAAGGTGTTTTGGGTAAACAGTCTGAAGGCTGTCAACATGTACCTGGAGTGTTTTTTTTGGAGGGGGGGTACAGATCAGTAACTGTCTGGCATCTCCAGGAACAAAAGCCTGTCGTTACCCGAAAAGAGCAAGGTACAGTGTACAATCATTGTTCAGATTTTTCTGCAAGCCTTGTATGAAGAGGGATGCATAGAGGCAGGATAGATATGAACGACAACTGCTGTAACCGTCGTTGGTTTGGGACCATGGCAAAATCCCTGAGAAATTGTTGTCGGAGATTACAGGTTGGAAATTGTCTACCAGATACCTCAATGGGAGGATATGGACATCTGCAAGTGCTACATTGTTGTCTGGCGCCACCAAGGTATAAAAGTTCTTTTGTGTGTGATAGTGGATTGATTGATTCGATCATTGGATGACTAATCTGTCTGGAAATGTCTAATTCCATTGTCAGCTGACCCATTTATGTGTAATTGACACACTAGTTTGACAGGCAGTTTTCTGAGAGCAGCGTTTGAAGTGCAGGGATTGTACAGTATCTTCATATACAGGTAGGGATATGTCTGCTGGTTGAACTTGACTGGAGTGCCTGCATATGAACTGATGGATAAACATGTGCGTGGGTTGACAGACAGAAGACAGAAATCATTTCCCTCTTTCCCCCCCCCCCAACACTGCAGAGAGTTCAGTGTTTGACAACGTGGATTGAATGGTCTGAGAGGCACATGCCCGTGTCCTCATTTTTCCAAAGTCATAAAAAGACACTACGGGTGCGTTTACTCAGAATAAGAGAACAGCTGGATTACTTCTTTGGTCTGTGCACTGTGGATGCTTGAGAAACTTGACAAACATTTGGGCATTGTAATCCATTTTATTAGTAGCTGGACACCTACATGTACCTCTGTTGTATTCTGTTGTCTCCCTTGAGATAGGTTGCCTTTGAGAGCACCAGGCTTTTAGAAGCAGTGCTACCACCCCCTAGGGGATGAGGATCATGAGGACTCTTTTCTGAAAACTATGAACAGTCCTTTTTTGAAAAGTATTTCTATTTTGCCCTGTGGACCAAGGCCCTGATTTGCAACTGTTGAGTGTTGTGTTGGTTCATTCCAGAAAAAAAAAACTTTGAAAACCTTTTGGAGGAATTTGCCTAAAAGTGCAGGTAGATGATACATGTATGTTGGCCGGCATTCTGCTAGATTTTCAGAAGCAGTTTTCCAATGTCTGTCAGGGTATGAACTCAACAGCTGATTCCTGTATAATTTCATTTATGGAGAGCGATTGGAGACACAAAAAAAGCGTAATTTCAAACATGCACTGTAAAGAAGGTCAGTGCGCCTAGAGTACTTCCTCTGCCTTTTCAGGCAATTTCACAAGATTATGAGACAAGCAGAACATCACCCTGTGCGATTGCATACAGGTACATGTACATCTATTTGTTTGAGCCCCCTCATCACGCCTGTTAGAAAATATCCCCTTTGCAGTGCATTGCTGGCGGGAGGTTCATGCAGTTCAATGGAATGAACCCATATTTCAGCTTTTGGCAAGTGTAGAGCCCACGGTTTGATTATAAAAAGTGGACAAACCATCCAATAAAACTGCCACCGTTTTTTCTTTTTTTTTTGGAGGGCTTGACGTGTAGGGCTTAACCTCAATGCCTACAGCATCTGCTGAGACACACACAAATGAAATTGGAAACAGGAGCAGCACAAGTGAAGCTGTAAAGTTGGGAGTCAGGAGAAATAAATGTCAGACGGGGAATTGTCAATAAGGGATATATTGTCAGCTACAAAGGAAAATGAGTTTGTTTCCAGTACTAGGAACAGTTCAGACTAGACTATTTGTTGTCTTTTGTACAGAATAAATTTGATAGCGCATGCACATGTATGCAGTTGCCGGTGTGATGTGAGTGATATGTGTACCTTGGGACTGTCAGTGTTGATTACCGGTGATATTTGACTTAATTCTGATCAAACACATTAGCAGAGCCAATATTTGACTGTCTGATGAAATGACTTTAGCATCCATTTCACTTGTGTGAGTTTTTTTGGTAATGCTTTTAAATGTACAATGCAAATTACTGGCAGACTTGAGGCTTTGCAGTCACTGCTGAAAGGAGGGAACGATTACATTTTGGAAAGAAGCCAGAACAGGAAATATCCTTTTTTTCTTTTACTGGAGCAGGTTGATCTTTACTTTGTGACCGATTCTCACATTCTTGAAGAATTTGTGTGGACTTGAAATTAAAAAGCACAGCTCATACTACTTACTTTAGTTTTAAATGGAAAGTTTTTGAGGAAGACTTTTGTTTATTTTATTGACTTTTCCCCTGTAGACTTGATCCTCAGAATTATCCACACTAGCTGGCCATAATTGTACATTCCTGTTTGTTTTTTCTGCAGATACATCGCTTCGAGCCACACCGTCTTAGCGCACAAACTGCCATAAGCAATTCATATAATCCAGGCCGAGCCATTATTACTGTCTGCCAGAGGAATAACACGGAACAGATACCGACCCCACCGCTAAGATGGGACAGCCACCATGTGGCCCGAATCACCCCCCTGACCAGAATGGACCAGTCTGGTGGCAATGCCATTGAGCCTCAGCCCCACCAACACCACCACCAGCACACAGCCAACGTGCCCGTAGCACCTGGACAAACTGTCGGCAACAATAGACGGCACGCAAAAAGTAAATCTCGGCCACGGTCTGGGGGTTCCCCGAGGGCCAGCCCGCGACACCGTCGGGAGACCAGGCAGAGCCTGCCTGCTATGCTTCACCGGAACGGGGAAGGGAACGGCAACTTCATTATCGTGGACGACGGACTACCAGTGCAGTCTCGGCTACACCCAAGCAACGGCAGTTGTTTGCCGGTCGTGATTATGCGGCATCACAGGGGGAGGCCTCCTCCGGGGAATCGTGTGTCGACGGCTTCCCAGACGTCCCTGGAGGGACCCGACAATATTGCATCCAGCGGGAATGTGGGTGCAAACACGGAGAGCATCAATGTGGGGGATAAAGTCATCGCTTCCATCCCATGCTCAGTCAGCCAGGAGGCAGCTTCCCGCTCCCTGCATCCAGCCGGGTTTCATAACACTAATGAGGGAACTGAAGCGGTTTACGATAACAACAACCCTGCCATTGACAAACCGGAGGGGGCCCCTGCAAAAACTGCATTGAGTCTGATAGACAGAAAAGCCAGCTCGTCGTCTGGCAGCGTGTCGGGACCCCCAACCAGCGTGCCTTCCCAGACCAAATCCAGCAGCAGCAACGAGCGGCTGACTGGCACCAGTAGCAGCCACACGAGTCGGGACTCTGCATCGGCCATTGGACGAAAGCAGAGGCGCCGGCATAGCCGTCACACTGCCGAACGCCGGCGAGTGTCGTCCTCGACAACTTGCAGTACATCCCCAACAGATTGCAGCTCTCGCTCCAGCACCAGCGGGAGCTTTGGAAGAGCCCGCCGATCCCGGAACAGGTACATTTCCACAAGTTCTTCCAGCGACAGTGAAGAGGACCAAAGACCTCCCCCGCCCAGGCGAGTCATCATCGCCAGGATGGCCAATGGTGGTGTTCGACACGAGATGCTGGACCCAAATAATGCTTATGGATATACTGGTGCTGTCCAGCGTGAACACGCACACAGGAGAAGCTCTGGCTCCTCCGCAAACACACCACCCAGGGGCAGACCCAAACACAAAAAGACAAATGGGGAGAGAGCTGGCTCTGTCGGCAGGAGAACCAACAGTTCCGGACCACCGGTGAGGTACGATCCACGGATGGTACAGAGTGCCATGCAAACCCACGTCATCCCAACTCCACTTGCTGTCTCATCTCCGATAGCACCACAGGAAGCAAGCGAACAAGTTCACCTCAGGCAAAAACGACCAAACTCTCTTAACCTGCGCCTGAGCAGAAAGTCCCACCCGGCTGCCCAGCCAAGGCCAAGCCAACATGCAACAGTGACCTTTGTCGAGGAGAGCGACCCCTGGATTCACAGGGACACCGAAAGGACGTATGCATCAGTGGGTGTGCAAAGCATGCCAGAGCAGACCCAGACTGGCCAAGCTCTGCCGGCCAAGTCCATCCAGCCCCCAGCTGACGTCAACCCACCTCTGATTGGAAGCGCTGCCAGTGCTCCCACCCCATCCACCAATGTGGACCCCCTCCTAGTGCCTAAGCCCAAGCCCCGGCCCAAGTCCATGGTGGAGCTGAGTCAGGACACCAGTGTCATAGTCTCCAGCTTCCTGCGGCAGGCCGTCCACGGCCTGTCCCCAGCCATCAAGACCGTCCTGGAGGACATTCAAAGTGTCATCACCACGGATGAGCAGTACCTCGCTGAGGCCATGCAGAGCCACAGCATCCTGGATGAGTACATCGAGAAGTCAAACTCACTGGACAAGCTCCTCGAGGAGAAGAAGGGCACAGATTCTGAGCTTCCTGATCCCAAAGTCTCACCCCCAATGCCCAGCCCCGTCAGCTGCAAGAAGCTCTTGAGGGAAACCCTTGACGAAAAATGTGGCATAGAGGGCAGTGGTATCCTCCCCATTCCCGATACCAAGCTCCAGAACCGCCCTGACAAAGACCTCATGGGGATCAACAGCGGCAAACACGAAGCCGTGCTGCAAGATTGTCTGGTCAAAACACTAGAAAGTGCTAGGGAAACAGTCCTTTAACAGTTGTGTCTTGTACAAAATATACATGATTGTATGAGAAATGACTCGAAAGCCTTGCCTGCTGGTACTCTGCACAGCCTGGTTTCCAAGCAAAACATTGTAAGAAATGGTATGATGTCATGCCTTTAACTGCCAAAGAGCGACCACTGAATTGCAGTGGGTTTATACCACAGCACAAACCGTATTATTTGTTGTTTGTTAATGTTTTTCACATATGTGGATCATGATGCATTTATTTATTTTTTTTTCATTTTTCAACCTGAGGAGATACAATGCTTGCCGAGGAGCTAATTCGTTTCTTTTTCCATGGACTTCTCTTCCCAAACTCTTTGCAATTCTCTGGTACACTAAAATTGTCAGAGCAGTTGTCAGAGCTGAACGTTAGGAGCAGTAACAAAAAATTTGTGCTCTTTTTAAACATCAGTTGTAAAACACTTCACAGAATGGACCAGAGGATTAAAATTCTGGGGATGAAGAGTCATTTTGGAAGCGTGATAAATTTTGCCATGGTATTTTGATCCAAGAATGGGAAGAAAAAGCAATGTAATCAAGGTCCGTTGTTTGTTCGTTTGTTTTTATTTGTTCTTTTTTACTTTGTCGTTTTTTGCTCAAGTAGTGGTTGTACATCAGCTTCCACTTTCGCACTGCAGTCTTTGGTTTTCTGTTTTTGTTGAGTGGATGGCTTTGTTTCAACTAATTAAATAATCGTTCTCAAAATGAATTTCAAAATTCTGCTCACTCCAGGATAATATTCTCAAGCCCTGTGCGCGATTACCCAATGCATATTCCATTTGCGGAACAAATGTAAAACATAGCCAGTGGCTTCGGGTAAACTTCTGAAGGCCACTACCTATGCTTGGCTTGGCCTGGGGGAATGTGCATTGGTTAACCACTGATTTTGCAATGGAGATTGGGTCTGGACCGAGTCAGTCTGGAGCTTAATGGGGCACTTGTATGATCAAAAATGTCCACAGTCCGAAAGGAAGAGGCCTCTCTGCTGACTGACGACATCAGAAGAGGCCAGCATTGCTGTTTATCTCCAAGGCCTGACAACTAGCACTGTCTGAAGAAGTTGTGGACGAGGCAATGAAAACTTGCTGGCAGTGTGTGATTCATAAGTACATGTTTAAGATCATGTTTGTTGTTTTTGTTTGTTTGTTTTTTCCTGAGGGTGTACTGCCTTGTAAACACAGTTGTGCAAGCGTGGTGTACGCAGTGTGGACTTTCGCACTAAAAAGGTCCGCGTTATGTAAGGGTAAAAGATGTGTGGACTCACGCATGCCCGTACAGTGTTTTCCCCTCTCTTAAAAACTTCTTGAGAGGCATTTTGGGGTCAAGGTTTTCGGATGGCAAAATCAAAAGGAACACAGAAATTCAAAACTCCAGCTTGAAGGGGTTATCATAGTGGGTTCCAAACAAATATCTGATTGCCCAAAGCTGACTGTGAATGATACAGTGATGGCTTAAACCACATTTCTGCAGACTTTGAATTTCTTATTTAAAACTCTAATAATTATTTTTAAACAGCCAAGAAAGTAACAAATATACAACAACATATTCCCCCCCCAAAAAAATTGATAATCGCCATGCACCTCCTGCAACCCCAGAGTGAACTCGGTCATTAAATATGCTGCGGGCCGCTGCTCCAGAATGGTTTACAACTTCCTGGTGTCTCCCATCAACCGAGCAGAGGCATTTTGTCAAGCATTGACATGGTTTAATTAGAATATCAATATTTTATTGTGCAGCATGCTAAGTTCTTCCACTAGTTCTGTGTTATTTATGCATATTTTATTTTCTGCCCGCTACTGAGAGCGGGAGAGTTTTTCTTTAATGTACATGTATAACATTTATTTTTCTCCTTACTCGTGCAATAACTTGTTTTTTTTATACCAAGTCCCAGGTGTGTCTCGTCTTTTTTGGTGTTTTGGATAGAAATGTATTCTATGACATAAAATGTGAAGTTGAAGTTTATGCCATCCTGCCTAGGCTCCAGCATTACCTTCTATCATGCATGAAAATGTTGACATTTTAAGTGAAAGGTCTGTGGCAGCACCTTGCAACGATATCTCTCTTGTGAGTATGTGTGGTTCAGAATTGAAGAATCCTCCGGTTCTTTGCTGAACTCCGCATTCTCACAAAAGAGATATCTTTGCACGGTTCTACCACCGACCTTTTACTTAAACTTGTCACTCTCACCATGAAAAGCTTCAAAGCTCAGTGCATGTAGTGGACATTTTCGTTGGATATGAGGTGCAGACAGTTAAACCAGGCACCGTCTGACATATTTGTTCCCTGACATGTATTAGGAACGTTTGTGACAACAACATGTTTGCATTTGCAGGGTCACAAGTCGGGTCTTGAGCTGTACTTGACCGTAGAAATGTATCTCATTAACTCAGTTTTGGCCTTCAGTTTTAAGAAGGCCTCAGTCCAGGGCAGTTGTACTGTCCATTTGGATGTTTTGGGGTTTATCATGTGCAAGTCAACCTTTCTCGAAGTGTTAGATATCATATGTAAAACAAGTGTGTTTTTGTCTTTTTATAGCAACGAAAGTTTTGAAAACAAAATGCATACCCGAATAATGCAGATTCATAACCCTTTTTCTACTTCCAAGGTATTTATAATATGCCTATTTAAAACTTTATGGATCCATCAAATGGATTTATCAAATGTTATTAAAATAGTTGGCTTCAGTTTAAAGTCTTTTGCAAAGGTTGGGGTGGCATCAGTTAGTGAAGACACAGCTGACACCCCTGGGTATGTCTCTGCCACAAACACTTTCAATACGTGCATGGGCCATGTATGAACACTCGGGTTCATGTTTGACGGCAGCCTTGAGCTCCAGGTCTAGTTCCTGATGTTAGAAACTGTGGCTCAAAGTCTGTGTGCCCTCTCATTGAGGACCATCGGACTGTATGCAGCTGTGGATCTGAGCATTTCTGTTTTGGTCAGTCTGGGTTTGGGTACCGGGGGTGCGAATGAAGCCAATAGCATCATGGAAGCTGAGATTTCAGCAATGGCGTTGGTCAGCATTCCACCATTTTATGCTTCACCAAATTCCTGCTAAGCAGGATTATCATCTGTGGTAATTCTCAACGCTCTGATACTGCACCTAATTCCTGCTAAGCAGGATTAATCATCATCTGTGGTAATTCTCAACGCTCTGTTACTGTGGACATAAAATCAAATTGTTGGTAGAAACCACAAATAATGAAATATAGACCGTCTCTCACAGGCAGAGGGATAGAGAGAGGGTTAAGGGTAGCATCCAGTCGACTGTCTCCCTCAGTACTAAAAATAAATGAGCACGCAAGCCAAACCAAATTAACTCAACTTCTGATGCAGTAAATAGTTTCGGTTATTTTCTCTGGGCATTTCTGCTTGCTCCACTTTGATATAGTTTCCAGTGAATATTTTTCCGAATTTTCAGAGCTCTCTGAGAAATACTATGGCTCTTTTTCTGACTACCCAGGGGTGTTTGGGTATTTGGGTATTTGAGAATGCTTGCAAAGTCAAAACAACAAACAGAACCAAAAGGCGGTTGGATGTTTGCCCCCCAAAAAATAAATTGGTAGAATGTTCAGCTTTTGACCAACAACCAAACACAGTGCATTTGTTGCAGCCATCAAAATGCAGTGCAGATAATGTGTACATCTGGTATATCAAATATCCCTATGGAGTCGCCACCCAGAGTAGAACCCATTTCTGAAAGAGGGTGCACATTTGACTTTTGTTATGAGAGGTTAGCATTTTTCATGGGGGGGGGTGGCTCAATCTGCTCCTGTATACTGTTTGGTAATTTGTCTAATGGAGGCATCCGGTCAAAAAGGTACAGTAGTTCTAGTGCGCTTCATGGGCACTTGGGCAGTGCAGCATTTCTTTGAGGTGTCTTTAGAATGTTCCCATGGATAGTAGTGCCGTCAAATTCAAACAGTATATAGACAATCTGTAACCAGACCAAATATTGATTGATATGCAATGATTCTTTTTCTAAACTCTATTAAATTCAATGCAATGAAATGATCTTTTATCTATTGATACTGATGTATTTGAATTCAAAGAACAAGTTTGCGTGCCAACTTTTGTCCCATTGAAGTCCAAAGAGTTAGTAGTTAGTCTCTTGATACCAATATGCTTAAAGGGACCACGTTATCAAAATATTTTCTTAAAATCCTTGAAATTGTACCTTTTTTGTCAATTAACCTTGTTTTTGTTTTGCCACTTTTTTCAGTGTTTTGGGGCCACTTTGGTTTTATGCTAAAATGGATTTCCATATTCATGAGCAGAACTATGATGTAATCTAAGGCACTTAACCTCAATGCTGTATTGAATTTTGCACAAAAGATTGCTAGATTTTTTATACTTTACTATTCACGATTTCCATTTACTTCACTATTCAAGATTTCCATTTACGTAGACAATTTATTGTTGTATAAGTATATGACGATAAATAATCAAGCAACTTTTTCCTCAAAAATATTTCAAAAAGCAATTTGGGGTTCAAAATTTAAAAACGAAAACATGGACACTGAATAGTGTCTTCCTGGATTGACATCACAGTGCCCTCACATGTTTGGAAAAGCTTAGTCATTTTTGATTGTTTAAACAAGTGCTCTTTGCAGTTTAAATCCAAAAGGATTTCAAACAGATTTCCTACATTGGAGAAGAGTTTAACCATGCACGAAAGGTGAGTCTGAAAAAAATCATCGTCTTGTTCCTTTAAGCATACTAGTTGATATGGGTTGGCACCCATACTTGTCCTTATATGTAACCCGTCATCACTTGGTATTTTTAGATGTATAAATACTCTGTATAAAAGTGAGATGAACATAAGTGTTATGTTGAATGTAAACACTTAAACTTTTCGTATGAACAAATTGATGATCAAGGTTTTTGTAATGATTTTTCCATCTCAGCACAATCTTCCAATAAACAATTCCCCGATAATTCAGGACAAGATCCAGGCATGGACATTACGTTAGAATAATGTAATATAAGTGTATGATTGAGAATCAAGATGTTTCTTATTTCCTCCCCGGATCCGGAACGGTGCATGCTTATAATATGTTGTAATAAAACTGTGGAGAGTGCAAATGATAATAAAAGAAAAGTGAAGTGACATAAGTTCATAGAATCCTTGTCTTTTCACTTGGAGTTGATATGAAGTAACTTATTAAGCTCATTTGTAGCTGGCTGTAGACGAAAATTGTTCCTATGAGGGTTGAACAGTGTAAGTTTTAGTTGCTAGTTCCAGAAGAGAGCGTTAAGAAAAGCTAGTGAACTGTTGTTGAATAGATGTACATTCCGTTTGGGGATCGACCTGATTAACCTCTTTCCCCTCAAGGTTTATTGACAGACGACCAGCAGTTGGTGCTTGAAGTCCATCCCAATAATTTAGGCGATTCACAATAGTGTACTTCCACGAGTTTGCCGCGAGTTTGAAATGCGTTGGCCAATCACAACGCAAGAAACTTCCACCCTTTTCAAACGCGCATTGGGTCGACAAATTTCGCGCATTGTGACTGGCCAACGCGTCACAAACTCTTGGAGGCACACTAATTGTGAATCGCACTTACTTGCCGAGTTTCGATGATCCACAGGTATATCGCTCCGAGCGGGACAAAAGAGGCGTGCTTTTTAATAAAATTAACAGCCTGTTGGTCCAAACTCACCACTCAGGCGCGGAAGTTTATGCACGTTTGACGTGGAGCACGCTGAGTACTCGCTACGAATTTATTTTGGAATACATGTATATGGTCTTCGCGTGCACACCCAAAGTGTGCAAAAACCTGGTTGGAAAACTTCGTACAAGCCTGTCTTTTTTCGCCGTCTGGGGCGCACTTCACCTCATCGCTTTAGGACCTTTTGACGAGACAACCAACGTGAACGATCCCGCGCCAAGGTAGAAATATTAAGATCAGCGTAAAACGCGACGTGCATGCGTTACGCAGCGGAAAGGCGTCTTTCCCTATTTACGTGTTGGGCTGTGTTGCGTGTACGATGCGCCCATGCGTTTCAATTCCCCGACACCAAAATCGACACCATTAACATAACATACGTGTGCGTTGAGTTCGGCCGTCAAAATTGCTCCGGGAGCGAATTTGACGGACAGGCCTACGCAACGCTTGGCGCAAGTGTTGACGCGCATATGGAAAGGTGCCTTAGAATTAACAAAATCAAACCGATACGTCTAAAGTTATTCAAATGTTTTATACTTGAATTAACTTAACCTTGGAAAAAGGTAAACTATCCGCCCCGAGCTGAAGTGCACCCCCAATTGGCGAAAAGAAAGACAGGTGGTTACAAGCAGGTTCTTGCATGCGTTCTGCATGTACGCATGTCCGCAAAGACCATACATGCCGGAGTAAATTAGTTACGCGTACTCAGCGTGCTCCGCGTCAAACGCGCATGTACTTACGTGGTGAATACCAAAAAACCACACCCTTTTTGGTTCCGCTCGGGGTTGCCCTCACCCGACTGACCCAAAAGTCTTGGAATCTCTGGTTGGGTTTTGTTTTGTTTTGTTTAAGTTAAGGTTTGGCTTTTATTCTGCATTTCCTCAAGAAATGTCAGTTTAACGCATACGTGTAACGGATGACGCGTGGTTGTCGAAACCTAGACCTGACTTGGGGCATAACCGCTCACGATCTCCATTATAAGCCGGGGTAGTGGTGACTGACACCAGGACAGGCACGAGGATCACGTGATGGCTAAACGAACGCTCTCGTCTAAGTTTAACTTACACGTGTAAGCTAATCGAACACACCCATATAGACTGGATAAGACATCGTGTCCAAAATGCGTCCGGCGTATGCGTATTTTCAGGAGGGTAAATAACGAGTGTTGCGAATTTTGTTGTGTGTACTTTTAAATGGAGTTTTTCAGAAACCGGTTGAGGTTTCTGTGCTTCAATCGTCAGATTTCAAAGAAAAACTGAATTCTGCACTTGGAGTGGATAAATTTGGAAAGAATAATGGTCGACGTGTACGCAGCAGTGAATTACCGGAAATCAACGTCAAGTGTGGAAGAAGGAACAGAAGGAAATGTGAGTCGCACTTTTTTAGTTTCAAAAAGTTTCTTAAGTTGTACTTTATAATGCTTGATACAAAGCCCGATAAGCTAGATAGACTGTCTTAAATTTCTTACTAAGCCCATATAGGCTTAAAGTTCATGAGACTTCACTATCTCGAAGTTGGAACCGTCAAAAGTGGTTTCAAAACTGAATGACTAATTTCTCGTTTATTTTCCCCAAATTTCACTGGAAAAATCTCCACGACAGCCATAATTTGTGTTTGTCGGATCTAAAGACGCGCTGAACCCAAACTGAACCCGTCCATGTGACAGACGATGTGGTGTGGGCGACAGAATTCTTCTTTGGGGCAGAGATGAAACCAAAGTGAGAAGCGGAGTGCTGACTTTCTGTTGAATGAAGTTACAAACAAGGGAAATCAAAATCAATGCAATGAAAGAAACATTGTCTACACAACAAAATTATTCGTTCTCAGTTAAAAACTGACTTTTTATACCGGAAAGTAGTTGTTAAATGTAAATCTTGAAGTCATGTTGTGAACTCAACTTTTTAAGCTGATATATAAGCGTCTGTTTTAAAAATGTTAGGCCTAGTTTGGTCGCTCATTTAAAGCTGGGCTCATTTTGTGCTCACAGAGAAGATTCTCATACTTTGGTATGCTGCATGTCGGTTTTCAGTAAAAAAAATTACTCAGTATATGAATGAATTTTATTTAGTACCGGTACAATTTTTCCTGAGAGTGTGTAAAATTAAAATCATTTCATTGATGATTTGTTTCAGTGTTGGCTCATCGAAACCAGACGGAAAAAACACATAGACAGTTTGGACATCATATTCACTGACAAAACATCTTGCATTTCCTGGTGGAATTCTCAAAGTTTTACACAATGAACAAATCACGATTGAACCGATGCAAAGTGAAATATTGCTAAAGCGAGACCGTAAACAATTGGTGTAAAAAATGAATTAAAAACAAACAGTAGACTTGATGACATAAATTATCTCGCCAAGTCGACTTGCTTGTATTAGGAAGTCGACTTAATTACATAAATTTTGCCAAGTCGATATAGGGAACT